AGTTTCGTGATTAAAATAAAACTCAATATTTTCTATTGTTACAGACAAACAACATTACAGAAGCTGAAATAAGTAACTGCAAGTTGGCTAAAATAAACGACGTGTGTGATTCAATAAAGCAACAGCTGCTGATCCTGGTGGAGTGGGCCAAGTACATCCCGGCCTTCACGGAGCTGCACCTCGACGACCAGGTGGCGCTGCTGCGGGCCCACGCCGGCGAGCACCTGCTGCTGGGCTGCGCGCGCCGCTCGCTGCATGTCAGCGACGTCTTGTTGCTGGGCAATAACTGCATCATTACTAAACATAATATTGGTATGTACATGACACTATTTCTTGGGTTTTTACTTTACGTAAATTAAGGGGTGGGAAAAGTAAAGTACTTTGGGGATTCATTATTTTGTTTTAGGCTTACCTACTCACATAGAATGTTAAAAACTAGTCGCCTAATATGAGCCTCTAGCATGGCTTGAACTAGCCGAGTTCCTCGTCAAACAGTTATGTGAGTAAGCCGAAAACATAATAATTAGTATGTCTCACGTAAGTTTTAACATAAGCATACTTTGAGGATGAGCAAAATGATTTTTTTTTCTTTTCAAAAAACTGTTGCCAAACTAGGATTTTCGCCTGTATCGTCGTTTCATTTACATGATAATAAAGAAACACATGCACATCAAATTATTACAAAATTAAATAAAAAAGTTCTCTCTTATGGCATCAATATTATTACTAGTATCAGTTAACCCGTGGTATGCCGCGGTACGCAGATATACGCGAAACACACTGTGTTTTCTATTGCAGATAAAAGGTTAATCCATTTATTAAAAAAAGTTGTAATTCAACAAAGTTGCAATTAAATTATTTATAATCTCAAGAATACAAACAGCTGTTTGACATTGAACGCATTGAAGCAGCCCCAGTAAGAAATAAGACAATTGAGTTGGGTCTGACTAGCTTCTTAATTAAATCTAAACTCTATTAACAGTTAATATCGCTATCCGATATCATAACTCGCATGTATTATTTGCAGACGGTCGTATGGACATAGACATCAGCATGATAGGCATGCGTGTGATGGATGAGATCGTGAAGCCGCTGCGGGAGATCGACATCGATGACACCGAGTTCGCGTGTCTCAAGGCCATCGTGTTCTTTGACCCTAGTGAGTACACCCTGTACATGTTTGGGGAACTTTCTAGGGGTTGTACAATAATGAAGTTGCGACATATTTTGCTTTTTAAAAATTATATTTGTGTCGTAGCCAGGGATGTTAAGGAGCTCTGTAACAGTTACCGAAACTATCAGATATCCGATATATAAAAATATCCGTAACCGTATCCAGTATAATGATAATAATTTCTATATCCGTATCCAATGCATATCCGAAATTCCATATCCATAACATCTGGTCGTAACCGTGACCTTAGTACGAGTTTGTTTTACGCTTAAAGTACTCGTAACGAGTAAGCGTTCGGCGCTCTGATTGGTTGGTTCATTGGCGCCGGCCAATCAGATTGCCAAACGCGTACTCGTTTGAATACTTTAAACGTAAATCAAACTCGTACTAAGGTCTCTGTACTACATAAGCCACAACTATAGAATTAAAATGTGCAATTAAAAAACAAAAAAAATATTGCAAACAGCATTTCAAGTTATTCAAATTTATAGACATTTTTAGACTAAAATAACATTCCGTACTTACGTCCCACTTCCAAGTTATTGTATAACGATCACCAAAAATAACAAAAATCTATACTTTACAGACGCGAAGGGTCTCTCACAGCCTCAGAAGATAAAACAACTCCGTTATCAGATTCAAATCAACCTAGAAGATTACATCAGTGACAGGCAATATGATGGCCGTGGTCGCTTCGGTGAGCTACTGCTCTGCCTACCCCCTCTGCAGAGCATTACGTGGCAGATGATCGAACAGATCCAGTTCGCCAAACTGTTCGGAGTGGCTCACGTCGATAGTTTGCTGCAAGAAATGCTGCTTGGAGGTCGGTTACCGTTCATTCTAATATAATATTACTATAACGACACTATATAGTTTATTTTTGCTTGAAAGGAAAAAACATACATTCCCCGCCAACGTTTACGCTATTGTTGTTTACGTGGCGTTTTATTTACTCTATAGCCTTCCTCGATAAACGAACTATCCAAAACAAAAATATTTATAGATTGAAACCAGAAAATTCTGGAAATAAGCGCACGGTTTGTGCGGTGGCTGGGAAACCGGCTGCCGTGCAACGTGTCGCGGGTTCGATTCCCGCACAGAACAACACTTTGTGTTATCCACAAATTGTTGTTTCGGGTCTGGATGTCATTGTGTATGTGAACTTGTATGTTTGTAAACGCACCCACGACACAGGAGAAAATCCTAATGTGGGCAAGGTTTTTATTTATATTTAAAAAAAAAAAAAACGCGTCCAACGAAACTTACAATATCTTTAACCTTATAATTTTCGGTTACACTTAAAGATAAACGAACTCTTCCACAAAACTTGTACATTCGTAACTTCAACTAATGTTTTGCGCAGGGGCATCAACAGAAGCGGCCATAGAAGAGCCGTCTCCCGAGGGTGCAGTGGACGCGGCCTCACCCATGTCGTCAGCATCCTCCCCACCGCTGGTTCCCCAGCTCCCACTACCGGAGCCCAGCTTCCTGGAGCCCTTCAAACAGGAACCCAACATGTGAGCATCATACTGATACATCATATTCAATGTGGGGCCCAAAACAGGGCCGGATTAACACTGCAGGGCCCGCTAAGAGGGACGTTATCGTTGGCTCCTTGTTCTACGTTTTAACCATTTGACTGTTGATATTGTCTGAACAATGCACTGTTTCTCGCGTGCATGTGCCTTCCGAAACACGACGAGTTAAACATTAATGTATAATCTCGAGTGGTTTCTGTTTGACGCCCGTAAAACTGTTAATCTGGCTCTTGCACCAAAAATCTATCTTGTAACTTAAACACGAATTTATCATGCCAATACCAAACCTTTAACATATTTGTAATAAAATTGTACTTTAAATAACTATTTGAATAAATTCTATTTTATATTGTACTTTACAAATATGCCTAAAATTGGTACTGGTATGAAACTATTGTGATTTGCTGGACATATGCAAATTAATATACATTTTATTGTTATGTAATCAACACTTTTATATCGATTTAAGCTGAAATCTATCCTTTTCTATATACAATAATTGTTAATATTGTCTGGCAAATCATTCAATCAGGTGGTTGTCTATGCTTATGAATTGTAGATTTTTATATACTGTTATACAATTTAATTTTAAGAAAATTATACATCAAATAAATTCTCTAATTAGACATGGCAGTTAATTTGAAAGTAATGAAATGAGAAGTATCTTTTGGAGGTTGAAGTCTTACCTTATTGCCTTTCCAAAATTGAACAAATACAAAACTAATTAACAGATCTCATTATATGAATAGACTAGTGTGCCTTCCATAATGTTCCTCTCTGCCTATCCCTGGGAATAGAAGACTTAGTGCCTTATACCAATATTGATGAAATTATTTAAATCAGAATAATTATGTCTACAAATCACATCTTATCGTTGGACAAAATGTATGCTACGTAAAATATGGTCCACGTGTAACATGCTCTCTTTTAGTTACACTAATACTAACATAGAATAAATACTCTAATGAACTGTGAACTAACAATTTGGAAGGTCAATGAAACGAGAAAAGGTCAAAATTATACCCTACTATCTAAAGACATTTTCTTTAGATATAAAATATGCTGAAAATTTATTTGTAAAATGTGTAAATGCACTCATTACACATGATAAAATCTTATACGATTATTTTTCTATAAATTAGAATAGATCAGTAATTAACGTAATTATTTTTCTCTTTTGCTCTCGTCTCATTGTCCTTACTAAACAAATCGTGGTGGTTCGGTGACGGTGGCTGTATCCTAACTCTGGGCGAAGTATATATAAACAAAATAACATGTAGATAATGTACAATCGTTTGTCCAGGAGCCCCGAACACAATACCAGCATGCTGAAGTCCGCAGACATTACCTTATTATAGTGACATCATACAAACACCACACTTTTGTAGAACGAAAAGTTCTTTGGAATATTCCAGAATGACGGTAAATTAATTATCTATGCGTATGCATTTGAAAACCGTTATTTTAAAATGATTATTTGAAATCGTAACACTGAAAAACATATTGTTTTGAACAGTTGACACGCTCTTTTATTTCGAGACTTTACAATGATAATTGGGTGCTAATAATTTTGAGCACTTGTGAGTCTTCGTAATAAAAGGGTTTATATTTAGTGTGAGTAATATTGAAATATATTTTAGTTACAAAACGGTAACCAAGATCATGGAAACTCTTGCAAAGCTTTCGCCGAACCACTTGGCGTGCGTTTTTTCAAATATCTTTTTCAGTGTATTGTTTTATATGTATCGATGTGCCTTGTATATTATATGAATGACTGTATTAAATTACAAAAATTGACTATATTTGTGATCAATTCAATTATTATTATCGTGTTTAAAAGTTATTGGTACTTGAAAGCATCGGTTTATATGTAATTTTACTGTTTACCCCTAATTAGAATAAGTGCCTTTGTGAATAAGATAAATATGAGTGTAAGCAGAATCGAGCATATCGCTGTATTAGGCAGAAATAAAATTGCAGCTTTAAAGTAAGGAAATTGCGGGAAATGCAATGATATAAAGTATATAAGGAAATAGCCATAGATAATTATGTAATGTATATAAAATATGAAACTGTATGTAGCTTTTATAAAAGATCGAACAATTTTTATGAAATATTTATATACAAAATGTTTAGATGTTAATGTTTGTGCCTGTATTTTATATAATTGTTTTTGTGAGTAGGTGTAGGAGGAGCGTTTGCCAATTTTTTATATAAACTTATTATATTACTAACTTTACAGACTCTAATGCTACTCAATTTTATGTTTGTGTAGGTTTCAGTCTATCTCTGTCATTTTAAAGTGAATTATAATGTTAGAGATATATTTTAGAGCATTTTAAAGTTGAGTGGCATTCTATAGTTCGGTGATAAAAGTAGGTGTCGGATTCTACAAGTGCTGTACATCTGTCTCGGCTGTGTTACCCTGTAACAAACTTAAGGAAAATTGCCCGCACTTGTTGAACTTTTATACTATTTTCTAGATTAATATCTTAATTTATTTGGTGTCGAGTCAAAATTTAAGCGCGGTACCGCGCTCTAGTATTCGGACTATGTAAGTTACCACGATAGTAACAAGTAGGTGATGGTATTATAAGAAACCAATAGAGAACGTTATTGACAGTTAGGTAGGAGTAAAGATATGATTTATAGGCATTTTATCTCGATTATATTTACATAGAATTATATATATATAAGTGATTTTGTACGTGTCACATATGTATTGTACGACACTGTTATGTAGGTGAACCATTTGTTAATAAATGCTCAAAGTAGGTATGTTATATTTCATTGTTACTTGATTGGTGTATACCGTTATGTGGTGAAAGTTACTCTTTGCGTATGAACTATATCATGGGTTAAAAAGTCGTAGAATTTATTGTCATTTAAGTTAAGAAATAGGTGCCTTATTGTCCTATTGAGGTGTACTGTTGAAAATGTACATACTATGTTATGAATTTTAGTAGAATATATTTTAATAAATAATGTTACAAAAATGTGTTTTTATTATTTTCATCGTAGTATTGCCACCGACGCACGCGAGGCGGCTGTAGTCAGTAAGTCAGAAGCATGCGTGGCACAGATCTGCACACAGATAATGACTTCTAAACATGCCTACACGAGAGAAATCTCTGTCCACTATCCTTCGCAAAGCCAAACTGATCATGTCACCACAAAGAAGCAATAAGAGAGCCAAAACACGAAGATAAACTCGTATAATTAAGCATACAACTAGTAAAACATAAGATAAATATTCACTAAATTGGTTCAATCACCGTCTGAAGGTTTCTTCTCGACGTCCATGTAACCCTGCCGGCTGGTGCCTCTGTTCTTGCAGTACAAGAATACCACTGAAATAGCGGACACCGCAGACATGGCCAACAGTGGGACGTATACCGGGAACATTGCCTAGTGAACACTATACAACGTGGACTCGTCCTTCTCACAATATATGTGTATATTTCTATAAATCATATTCAATTCGTACACAAGAAAATGGCTTGACAAATCTTGACATTTGACGGACAGATAATACTAGAAGAGTTGCGTGAAAAAGTTTTCATTGCTACATTTTCAACCTATGGTCGCTCTTTGGACACAGGTTTGTGTGCGATACACGCATGGAATAATAAAAACTAATAGACGGTACAAATATAAAATGTACTGTATAATATGTATACAAACATGATGACGGCAAGGTTGTTGCGGTGGCTGGGCAACCGTCTGCCGCGTAACATGTCGCGGTTTCGATTCCCGCACGGAACAAGTCTTGAGTGATCCACAAATTGTTGTCCCGGAACAATTTGTAAATCATGTGTAAGCAAACTTGTAGGTATGTTTGTAAACGCACCCACGACACAGTAAAATCCTAGAGTAGGGCAACGTTTTATAAAGAAAAAAATTGAAGAACAGGCTGTTTGATCAAGAGGCACTTACATAATGACCACCAATTTACTTCCTAATTAATCCCTAAATCCCCATCTAGCAAACCAACAGCAACCTGGCGAGGTAGGGAAATTATTTATTTATGGTAAACCAGCTGAACTTAAAAATACTTAGGTTCACACAAACACTCAAACACACCATGTTTTAGAGGAGGATATTTTCTTTGGCACAAGCTCGTCACAACCTCCTAAAACCGTTGCAACCCCTGTAAGCCAGTATCTACCGTAGATACAACTATGAAAACACTGGAATACTAAAGTCCGGCGCGTCCCAGGGACATGACTAACTGTCTTGGTTCCCGCAACGAAGTGAATCAGAAGATATTATAAGAGGAGAAGAAAAAAACAATCGTTTCCACTTCCATCGGTGAATTACTGCAGGAGACAGAATGAATTAAGCCTAAGGGGGTTTGTTTCCATTCTTTGGGATTATGAGAATGAATCCACGTCGCCATACACGAGGAAAGACACCTTCTGCGATACAACGGTTGAATACAGTTAGGATCGCATCAGCAGCGGATTTACATGCTTCTATTATCATTTTATTTGAGACTTTGACTTCACCAGATGATTTATTCAAAGGCAAAGTTTTAACAATAGTTACGACTTTACGAGCTCGTTGATAGACGGTAGATCAGACACTGGTGGTTCAGGCGGTATAGCTGCCCACGACCTAATCTGTTGATGATAATTATTGTCTGTCTCGAATACATCGTCAGGGACAAGTTCATCGAGCTGAACTTCCGTTGCCTCCTCAATATCAGTGGTGTGAACATTGTTGACCTTTATGTTAGCTGTCCGAATGCCAGATCGACGGATCTATTGATCGGCTTTGAACTCATGGTATAGAGGCGACCACGAGCCCTCCCTCCCCAATTGCTATACAACCCTCCGTAGCAAATCACCCTTGGTTTTCTCCACCAAAGCCCTATAGCGTGACCTGGCAACTCTAAAGGCAATCAGTGCTTCATCAAAAACGGTACCGGTTACCTTACGTTTCTTTAGTCTATTTAACTGTTTGCGCGCTTTACGAAAGCATTTACGTTGTTCGACTAGATAGTTATTCCACCAGTCGCATCTTCGCATACTTGTCAAGGACCCACAACCAAAAGCAATGTCGGCACAGTAAGTAAAGGCATTCGGATGCCTCTGAGATCGGCATGATTTCAGCACCCTTCTCGGCCGACAGATCTCTGCGAGTGAAGTCTTTGGCTTGAGTTGCAAATGATGAACTAAAAAAGTTCCAATCCGCGCCCTTAGTCTTGTACCTAAACCTACCATTGCAATGTGTTGGACCCTCGGGTAATGATGAAATAAATTCGTACACGATCAGGCGATGATCACTACACGACGCATCTAGTAGGACACGCCACCTATCCAAGCTAACGTCCGCACTAGAAAGTGTGACGTCAATACAAGATTCGCCCATTTGGCTGCAAAAAATAGGTGGTGCATCAGGGGTGTTATGAATAGAGAGATTCATTTCAGCAATGAATTCTTCAACAGCACACCGCCGTGTCAGTAGCCCTAACCTTGCCATACCACAAGGATGAAGACGCGTTAACGTCGGCACCAATGATAATCTTGGAGCCCGCAAGTTATTGCAAGACGGAGGTGATAAATATGAGGAGTAACTGAGTCAGAATATTGAAAGTAACAGCTCACAATTTAAAGTTTACAATTTCCCGAAGCAATCTCCGCGACGGCGTAATGTGACGTCATTAAATTAGATGGATGTTACTGTGAAATTAGGTGATCTCGTGAGATAAATTCCAGCCCTCGACCTGTCATCTAGCTGCACTACCCTGTGCCGTAAGTGGTGGTAATAAGTACTATGTCAAGTTGATAATCGACAATTAATTTATCTAACTCAAACGTCGCAACCGTATCGGTATGGAGATTCAACTGCCCTATGGTTAGCTTATTCATACTATTATTCAATAGGTTGTATTGAGAATAAGTTGTTCAGGTTTTGTTTTATAAGTACCACACTCTGGCGATCCACAACGGTGATCGTTAGGTTTATTGAAACGTTTACACGCCACGCAAGTTGAAATAAAATTTGTTTCCTCGTGGTGGATATGATAAACCTAATGTTCAGAGGTGTAAAAGTGGGCCTACTTCACCCACGGTCATTGCCACCCTGTCCTTCAATTTCTAAAACTAACTCCTCAGGGGGTGATGGCACCTAGGGGTGTCCGAAAATTTGGTAAGTTTTTGAGATATTTACAATTTTAATATAAAAAAAAGATCTGTTGATGAAATTTTAAAAGCCAAATGCAAATTTTATTGAGTTTTCCCCGTCGTCTTATGCAGATATTTACCAAAATAGTAATTTGGAATAAAAAACAGATAAAAAATATAAAATGTTTAATGTCCTTAACAAAATTAATTATTTAAAATTACAATACAGTCAACAAATTAAAAGCTACCCAAAATCTTGAGATACATTTTACAAATGGGCAGTCTATCACAGTCTCATACAACAACAATCACAATGGCCAAAAATATAAACCCTGTGAGACCTAAATATTAAATAATTATTGTTTTATGGTCTATTTATGTAACTGTTTAACGTTTAACTAGGCAACTCAACTAGTCTCTGAGGCCTTAATACAAGTTTGTTTTACGTTTAAAATAACCGTAACTAGTACGCGTTCGGCGCTGTGATTGGTTGCTTCATTGGCGCGGGCCAATCAGAGTGCCGAACGCGTACTCGTTTCGAATACTTTAAACGTAAAACAAACTCGTACAAAGCCTCTGAACTCTTGGAGTTTGTTTCACGTCATTCGCCATGTCATTTGTAATACTAGTTAAGTTACCTTTTAAAATAGTTATACATTAAAAATGTTTCTTTAGCAATCAAGTGCAATGAAATACAAAATTTGTATGATATTTTCACATGTATAGAAATGAGTGTTCTGCATAATGCTAATACATAATTATTTTCGAGTACGACGCATTTCAGTAATCAATAGATAGCAATAATCTAATCCTAATTTACTTTAAATTGGACACAACTAGTAGATAAGATTATTTCTTTCTAACAACTATGACATATTGTAAAAGAGTAATGATAAATTGATATTTATGTAATTGTAACTACAAAATGATTGTATGTTCAGTGGCCGGCAGGTCAATCTACTGCAATCTGTGAAATTTATTCATTGGATTTTCGACTTTATACCAATAAAATAAAGTTGAATATGTAGTAGAGAAATTTGATAGAAAAGGATACGTCGACCTGCTGGCCATTATACTAACTATTTATTTATTTATACACATACAATACAAAGGACAATACATACATTATATAAAAACAGAGTACATAAGCCCCATATATTCCAACTGGAATTCCTTCCTGTGGGGCTGTGGCAGGAAAAGAAATAAAGACACCGAATAAGCTATACGGGAACTAATTATTATATAGGTAATTGATAAAAAATGTTGTTATAAAATTCTTGTACATACTTAAAACATATAACATCACGCCTTTTAACTCCGAAGGGGTAGGTAATACACATACGGCACTTAATTCCAATGTACAATGTAACACCCACTTTTCACTACTGAAAACGAATCAATTATATATAAAAGAAACTACAGAGTGTAACTACCTACTATGACTAACACGTACTTGTATAGTTTCCATCACATTTATATGTCTGGTATTATAGCTACGTATGTAGAGTATAGTATAGTATAGTAGAGACTAGCTGTAGCAAAATAAGACTTATGTTGTGATGATAAGTTTTACATTACAAAAAAATTAAATAAAGACTAAAATATTAGTTTTTAGACCATTTTAATATACGAATTAAAATTTTGACTAGATTTACTTTTTCGTTCTTAGAACATATGCGTTTTTAGATGCGCTTTAGATACTGGAATACTGATATAATGCAATTTGACTATTGTCCAGCAATAATACAAGAAAGTTGACTTATAAAATAGAGAAGTAGAAAATTTTAAACTGAATGTCAAACACATATTGGGAATTCGAGTACATAGTAATAATGTCCTTTAGGAACACTAGTGGAGTTAGCACACACCTAAACGATTTATTTATTTTTAAACAGTCACACCAGTAGAAAACCACTCCATTACCATCTCTTGACTAAGACTTACTTAGCAACTTAAGAGTGAGGAACCACCTAAATTAATCCCTTAATTTTAGCTTTAGGTTTTACTCATAGGTTGGTGAAAAACCAAAATGTCGTTAAGTGTCACCTATCTTCAATTCACAAGCGGTTACTGGAGACCGCTCTCAACTCACTGCATAAGACCTTATTTCTGATGTTTAGAGACTACTTTTGTATGAACAAATTTCAGGGATTTTCGGTACAAGATCTCAAGTGATTCGCTTAGGGGTCCCTTAAAATTTAAGAGTGGTTGGTCAAAGAGAGCATGACTCATTTATTCTTATCATAATAATTAAGAATTTATATAGCACAAATGTTCTTAAACAATAGTTATTTCCTCTTTAAGAGCAAATACTTAGGACTTACCTAACTAGATTAGGGGCCTGTTTCACCTGGTGCTATGTACCAGAGTGAATATAGAACATAATTTGTATGAACTATCTGAACTTATATAAAGGTGATGAAACAGGCTGTAACTCACACTATTCCTATTATCTATATAAAAGTAATTACATTTAATATTATGAACTACAAGTCTACACAGACATATTGCATTCCAGTTGCACTGTGTCTATGATCTACGACTGCTTTGCAGTTCTTTCATTCGCTTTAGATCCTAAATTATTGTTTCAAACGAAAAAGATAATAAGGATAATGACAATTACTAAAATTCAATACTCTTCGAAATATGAAAAATTGTAATAATTTTGTACGGGATTACTCAACTTTGGAGTCATAATCTTGTGTCAAGTAGTATGCTTATTTCTTTTAAATTAACTAGAACATTTGTTTAAGACATTCAAATAAATTTACACGTGAGAACAAGAGAGAAATAAATTTACAATCAATTAACGCAAGCGTGATTATTCTTAAGACATTTTTTAAAGTTATTTAACTTTTGACTACATCTTCATCCCTATTTTCAATTTACAACCAGTCTCAAAAAGCCGTAGCCTATTTTTAAAAACCACTTACTATTACACATTACTCAGTGCCTGGTACTAATCTAGGTTCGACGCGGAAGGTCTGGCTCTAGAGCGAGTAGTGTTGACTCCTACGTAACAGAACCCGGCATCAATCCCATGGTCTATCAGATACTGGAGCCATTGCAACTGCTTCACCGACGGCTTGTCTGCATCAGTCTTCACTTCGACGAACTTTATCTAAAAAAAAAATTGGGTTTGTTGAATAGGAACTTATGCTCATTTTTTCTTCGTCCAAGTTTATATATTATCCACCAAGTCAAGCGAAAAAGCGGCATGACCGTACTATACTTTCTCGGAGCAGTTCAAACCATTTTCGACTCTGTTGCCTTAATTTTTAGTAACCAAAGAAGTATTGTATAGTATGCATGATGTATTTTTATAACTGTCTGTCAAATTAAAAAAAGTAGATAACTCATGAAAACCGAGTACAATATACATTTTTGCCTACGTTTCCTAAAAGGCGACAAGACTATTGTAGAGAAATAAATAGTGTGCTTACCTTTCTAGTGGATATATTCCAGAGAGTAAGGTCGGGGAAGCCACTGCGGCAGTATCCGTAGTCGAGTACCAGGCGACGACATATGTCGGCGACCCCGCGCGGCCGCAGGCAGAGCACTACTTCACAAATGTTCTCCCAACCAATAGAACGCAGCATGTCAGATATTACGGCTGGAAATGTACGAATGATAATATTAACTGTGTTGTTTCATTAAGTTAAATGATTCGCGTGTTTTTTATGACATAAGCCGGTAAACGAGCTAAAAGATCGCCTGATGGTAAGCAATCGGCGTCGCCCATGGACACCCGATGCACCAGAGACGTTACAAGTACGTTACCGGTCTTTTGGGATTAGGAATTTGAGGATTGTTAGAGATTTAGGGATTGAGGGGATTAGCGTTTCCGAATTCAGTTTTTAGTATAGTCTGAAATTATTTCTTAGAGTGTTTCACCTTTTTAATGCGATGTATAAAAGGTACTTAACAAATACTCCTTTGGGGACCAACAGACTTAATTCTTGTTTTCATATCGTATAATATCGAATCGTTGTTTTTTAATAGACTAATCGTAGACAAATTTAAATTATTTAACATAACAATACATTAAAATAAAATAAAAAACCACAACACTTACTTTCAGGCCGTGCATCCCATTGGTTTTTCAAGAAATCCACCAATTGTTGATCAGTACACTCTTGTATGAAAGTCAGCCTCTCGTCTATCTGAGTCTTACGGTTTATATAGAAGTTCGTTGAGAACATATCGAGTGGGTAGCGCTGGTAATGATTTATGAAGATACCGGGCAAACCACGTGGCTTGCAGTATATGATGTCCCAGAACAACGCTGTGTAGATTGTTGACACTATACGGCCTTCCAAGTGCTCTCCTGTTTTGAAAAAGTTAAGTTCGATAAGAATATTGACGTGTGTTAATTATTCTCTTAAGCCGTGAATTTAATAGATTTTCATCTTTATCTCTTTGTTTTACAGTTCAAAATCTTTTATTAGATGATATAGTAACAGATATATAAACATTAAACGTTTAAAAAAAAATTTTTAAACATATTTGACGAGCCTACGTTTTACCACTATTTCGCCTGGTCGTAAGCAATGATGCGATCTTCGATGAAGCGATGCTTCAAATAATTAAATGAATGCCTACTGCGTTTGATACTATTATTATGTAAGTGCTTACCCTTGGAGTACCCTCCATTATTAACATAGTGAGCGATGCAGTACTCCTCAGCAGTGACAATGCCTCGACCCTCTGCACAGTGCACCTCGAACTTCAGCTTGCCTCTCTGATTGTGGTTACTGCAAAATAAAATAATGTTAGCAATTTAGTGTCAGACGATTATAAGACTAATGTAACGTTATTAAGAATGATCTAATTTCGCAACGAACATTTCTTTTGTCGTATGTTCGCTTATCATTTGACGATTTTTAAAATACAAATTAGCCGCAAGTAGAATTAGGGGCCATTTTTCAATCATCAGTTAATTCTTGGCTGTAGAATGAAATTGACAGTTCACAGTTTTTAGTACGGAAGAATTGTCAAACTTCAAACTGTAACTGGCGTTGGAAAATCGGCCCGTAAGTTAGCTATAAGAATGAACAAATAATGGAACTGAAAGTAGGTAAACCTCTGCGCAAGTTACAGGCGTGATATTATGTAAAATATTTAAACATACGTCAAGTAGTTTCTGAGTTTATTGTTTTCATATAAAATAGACAGATATATAGACAGACTCAGTCTGTTTTATAATATGTATAAGGAGTCACTACTTACTCAATGGGTTGCTTGTGTATATGGTCTCCTGGCAGCCTGTTCTCAATCACAGTCTGTTTCTCTCCATGCTTCTGCAGTTCATTTCTCAATGTTTCCTTCAAGTCTATATTCTGTTGGTTGGCGAGCTTCAGCGCGCGAGGTCGTAGTGCGTCTTTCATATTTTCAAACATGTTCTCCGAATTTAGACCTTCTAGTAATGTATTTGCAGCCTAAAAATATTGGAGAATTATTAGACCATTTTTAAAAAACTGTTGTTTTATTTTAGCGAAACATCACGCCTTTTATCTTCGATGGGGTATACAGAGGAGCACGTTACGCCACTGTACAATGTCAATGCCCACTTTTCACTATTAATTATGCCTATTGCTCGTTTAATTTTGCTTGTTTTATTTTAGGTTTCAGTTAAATCTGTGTTAAGGCACAATACACAATGATGACTGATTAGAACTTGTTCCCGTCAACGTAACAAAACTTGTTCATACAATAGTGGTCTCTATAGGCACTAGATAAGGTCTATAATGGAGTGGATGAGACCCACACTAGAGTCCTCTCGGCAATTTAGAAGTTTACTTAACATTATAATGTGTCTTTTTTATGTCTAAAATAAGTAAGCTCCTAAGCTTTGGGCTTTGTAACGTTAGCATACGATTTCTTTTTGTGGTTTGGTGGTACCTACTATCGCCTGTACGGTATCAGGTGTCTATGGGCGGCCAGTTGCTTACCATCAAATGAAAAGTCTGCTCGTTTGTCGGTTCATCCCATAAAAACCGGCAGCAGGCGGACCATCTGATACATAACATAACATAACATCACGCCTTTTATCCCCGAAGAGGTAGGCAGAGGTGCACATTATGCCACTGTACAATGTAACACCCACTTTTCACTATTTATGTTATGAGTCCCATTTAATAGGGGGTAAGCCTATTGCCATATACCGGGCACAATTCCAGACTCCGTGCTACTACTGAGAATTTTGTAAAAACCCAGTAATACTTTGCCCGACCCGGGAATCGAACCCGAGACCCCTTGCCCGGCAATCGCACTTGCGACCACTCGGCCAACGAGGCAGTCA